GGGTGCTATGGATTGAACTCAGGGGCACTTGGCCACTGAGCCACATCCCCTGGCCTCAGTCCTCCTGTCTCAGTGTCCCTAGCTGTTGAGATTATAGGAGTGCTTTTTCCAACACAACCACACACAACCACACACACAAATAATTATGTGTTTGGGTATATGATGATTAAATATATATTGTACATGTTAAGTTTAAGAGGGATGAAGCTGGGTGGGATGCCATGTCACATGCCTCTAATTCCAGCAACCTGGGAGATTGAAGCAAGAGGTTCACAGGTTTGAAGCCAGCCTCAGCAATTTAACAAGAATCTCAGCAATTTAGCAAGACCCTGTCTCAAAAAAGTAAAAAGGACTGGAACTATAGGTCAATTGTAATGTGCTCCTAGATTCAATCCCCAGTATAGGTAGAGGGAGGGGATTAAGAGGGTTGAAAAGCCAGGCATAGGGTGCATGCCTATAATCCCAGCAGCTCTAGAAGCTGAGGCAGGAGGATCACAAGTTCAAAGCCAGCCTCAGAAACAGCAAGGCATTAAGCATCTTAGTGAGACCCTGTCTCTAAATAAAATACAAAATAGGGCTGGAGATGTTGCTCAGTGGTTGAGTGCCCCTGAGTTCAATCCAGAGGTCTGACAAAATGAGAGGAATTTGGTAGCAGAGACTGGGCCAAAGATGTTTCTGTCATAGCTTTTAAAATTGTACAATGTTTCTACACTACTAAGCTGTTGGAGACCTTTGTTGTAGAGATATTTGTACTTAGGTATAATTCAACTGGTTTTATTCAACTGGTTTTGCTTTGTCTTTCCCTTTGGTATTGGGGATTAAACCTAGGGGTGCTTAACTACTAAGCTGGGTCCTCAGTCAATTTTTTTCTTTTAAACTTTTTTTTTTTTTTTGGTACTGGGGACTGAAATCCAGGGCCCTTTACTATCATTGAGTGACAGTTGAGATACAACCCCAGCCCTTTTTGAGACAGCATCTCAGTAAATTGTTTAGGGCCTCACTAAATTGCTGAGGCTGGCCTCAAACTTGTGATCCTCCTACCTCAGCCTCCTGAACTGCTGGGATTACAAGCATGCCAGCTTTTTTCCTTTAATCTTGAGATAGTCTTGCTAAATTGCCCAGGATGACATTGATCTTGTGATCCTCCTGCATTAGCCTCCCAAGTAGAGAGGATTATAGGCTTGTGCTACCATGCTTGGCAACTTTTTATTTATTTCATTATTTTAGTATGGAGGTTTGAACTCAGGGGCGCTCTACCACTGAACTACATCCTTAGCCTTTTTTATTTTTTTATCTTGGCACAGGGACTCTCTTAATTGCCAAGGCTGGTCTGAAATTAGAAGGTCCTCCTGTCTCAGCCTTCAGAGTTGCTGGGGTTACAGGTGTGTGCCACCATCCTGACCAGCAACAATTTTTGTTTTAATAATTTAAACTATTCGGGCTGGGGATGTGGCTCAAGCGGTAGCGCGCTCGCCTGGCATGCATGCAGCCCGGGTTCGATCTTCAGCACCACATACAAACAAAGATGTTGTGTCCGCCAAATACTAAAAAATAAATATTAAAATTCTCTCTCTCACTCTCTCTTTAAAAAAAGATTTAAAAAAAATAATAATTTAAACTATTCGATGAGTCAGAGTCAGAACTATGGAGTAGAATGCCTGAAGTTTTATTTCAACTTTTTGGGCTTTGGTTGGCTGGTCTTAACCTTAAGCCAGGTTTGGTATTTTATATATTTGCCTCTGAAGAAGTGAGTATTTCAGTCTATTCAAAGCATTTTGGCAAAGATAGAGGTTTGAATTCACAGGCGCTCTACCACTGAGCTACATCCTTAGCCTTTTTTATTTTTTATCTTGACACAGGGACTCTCTGAATTGCCAAGGCTGGTCTGAAATTAGAAGGTCCTACTGTCTCAGCCTCCAGAGTTGCTGGGATTACAGGTATGTGCCACCATCCTGACCAGCAGCAATTTTTGTTTTAATAATTTAAACTATTCGATGAATCAGAGTCAGAACTATGGAGTAGAATGCCTGAAGCTCTATTTCAATTTTTTGGGCTTTGCTTGGCTGGTCTTAACCTTAAGCCAGGTTTGGTATTTTATATATTTGCCTCTGAAGAACTGCGTATTTCAGTCTTTCAAAGCGTTTAGACAAAGGTAAAGATTAGTGTTTTTACACATTTGTCATGTTCTTCTCAGATGTACTATCTGCCAGGTGTAGCATTAAACACAAGATCCCATATTTAGCTATCTTTTATTTATTCATTATTGATGCCAATTCTCTAACGGAATTATTTCCCTCCTGCTACAGTCATTTTGTGGAGGGAAATATGTTGCCAAGTTGGTCATTCCTCCTTTAAGTCACAAAATATTTTATGACAGCCTAAGTTAAACAAGACAGTACTTCTAACATCATTTATTGTTATTTGTTTCTTTGTATCTATTACCCCTCCCTGTCCCACTAAACTAAAATAACTGCTTGTTGGTTTAAAATGTACATGCATGAGTCAGGCGTCTAGTGGCTCACGCCTGTAAACCCAGGGAATCTGGAAGCTGAGGCATGAGGATCATAAGTTCAAGGTCAGCCTCAGCAATTTGGCAAGATCCTAAGCAACTGAGTAAGCCCTTGTCTCAAAAAATTAAAAGGGTTTGCGGATGTACGACAGCGGTAAAGGGCTTCTGGGTTTAATTCCCAATAACAACAACAACAACAACAACAAAAAAGCATTATTTGTGATATATAAAATACTGTACTTGATAGCATGACAGTTCCAATTCTAGCACTGTGTATTTAAACGATCAAAATGTTATTGAAAAGTAAATAATCTGGGGGATATATTTTGGTTTACATTAGAAAATATTTACAAAAAATCTGTTAAAATAACTTCTTCACTTCCTCCTTGCATCAGCTAGATGCAAACAAGTTAGTGCCTGCCCATCCGGATCTTCTTAAATCGTGATAGGGACCAATGCAGTTCATTTGCATTGACTTTCTATTGTGGAGCTTTGGAACCAAGGGAAGGATCCAAACATAGCTCCATTTTATCCAATCAGAAGAGCCGCTTAGTGCTATACTCTGATTCGTCCATTCCTCTTTTCATCTATCCAATCAAGAGGCAACTTTAACAGCCAATCAGAGGCCTAAATATCCGCCAATCACGGAACGGGGCCGAAGCACAGCCTTTGTGTCGGGGGATGTCAGCGCGTCGGCGAAAGGGCCCGCCAATAGAAAAAGCCGTTGGTGTATGCAAATAAGGGCCCTATGACGCAGAGACGCAGCGTGAAGCGTGGGTATAAAAGCAGAAGCGCCGGGGGGGTTTGGAGCGCAGAGCGGTTTGGTCGTTCGTTGGAGTGGTATCGTTCTTTTGCTCCGCAGCTGCAGGTCTTCACTGGGCAGCAGCTCGGCGCGGCGGTCGGAGAAGCGGCCTAAGATTTCGGCGTTGGGTAAGCGTTCGCGGGGTTAGTGGTGACTGCCGGCCCCTCCAGCCGTTGATGCCACGGGCCGCGGCCGTTGAGAGCCCACTGCCAGCCAGCGGGGGCTGCTCGGGCGCCTGTCTCCTTGGGCTTCGCCCCGGAATCTCCTTTACACCTCCTTCCCGGTGGTGATTCAGAGGTCCGGAGGCCGGGTTCCGGGCAGCCAAGCCTCCGCCCGCCGCGGGCGGGAAGTGACTCCTCCCCGCGCCCCCCCTCCCGGGGGAGGCCGCCACTGCTCGCAGCCTGAGTCATTAGGGGAGGGGGAGGAGGCGGTGGCGGCGGCCCTCGGCCATCTGCCGCCGCAAGGTGGGGCGCAGAGGCGGGAGGGCTCGCGGACGCGCGGAGCCCGCGGCGCCTGTCGCCACCTCCCTGGGGGCTGGGCGGGAGGATCTCGCGGCCTCAAATCCACTCTGCATCCTAGGTAAGAGAAAATGGCCCGAACCAAGCAGACCGCGCGTAAGTCCACTGGTGGGAAAGCCCCCCGCAAACAGCTGGCCACCAAGGCTGCCAGGAAAAGCGCCCCCTCTACCGGCGGGGTGAAGAAACCTCATCGCTACAGGTAGGCAGGCAGCCGGGGAACAATGACTTGGCGGTGGGCAACTGTGCGCGGGGCGGCAGCGCGCTGAGGCTCCGCCATGTCCTCTTACACACTCCTGTTCGCTTCAGGCCCGGGACTGTGGCTCTTCGAGAGATTCGTCGTTACCAGAAGTCGACCGAGCTTCTCATCCGGAAGTTGCCTTTCCAGAGATTGGTGAGAGAGATCGCCCAGGATTTCAAAACCGACTTGAGGTTTCAGAGTGCAGCCATTGGCGCCCTTCAGGTAAGGGGACGGGCTCTGTAGTATGGGGGAGGGCTGCGTGGCTTCTCCTGGAGGGAAGTTAATAGTGTGGCTCTTGTCCTCAACAGGAGGCTAGTGAAGCGTACCTGGTGGGTTTATTTGAAGATACTAATCTGTGTGCCATCCACGCTAAGAGAGTCACCATCATGCCCAAAGACATCCAGTTGGCTCGCCGGATACGGGGAGAGAGAGCTTAAGTGAAGGCAGTTTTTATGGCGTTTTGTAGTAAATTCTGTAAAATACTTTGGTTTAATTTGTGACTTTTTTTGTAAGAAATTGTTTATAATATGTTGCATTTGTACTTAAGTCATTCCATCTTTCACTCAGGATGAATGCGAAAAGTGACTGTTCACAGACCTCAGTGATGTGAGCACTGTTGCTCAGGAGTGACAAGTTGCTAATATGCAGAAGGGATGGGTGATATTTCTTGCTTCTCATGATGCATGTTTCTGTATGTTAATGACTTGTTGGGTAGTTATTAAGGTACTAGAATTGATAAATGTGTACAGGGTCCTTTTGCAATAAAACTGGTTATGACTTGATCCAAGTGTTTAACAATTGGGGCTGTTAAGTCTGACCATACATCACTGTGATAGAATGCGGGCTTTTTCAAGGGTGAAGATACAAGTCTTAACCACAGTGTAACTTACAGTTTCCTAAAAAAAAAAAAAAAAAGGAAAAAAAAAGAAAAGAAAAAAAGTAAACCTGGCAGCTATAGAATACACTATGTGCATTTATAATAGCTATTTTATATATTGTAGTGTCAACATTTTTAAATTAAATGTTTTACATTCACAAGTGGTGGGGAGTCTTGTCATTAAGGTGTGTATAATTTAGAGTCCAGTTGGTTTTCTCCTAACTAGAGACTGCACTTGTTTTCATAGTAGTAAAATGCTATGTGTAATATACCTTGCATAAGTCCTCATTCTACCACATGTTAACTAACCCTCTAGCTGATAATGCAAACACTAACTGGGGGATTTTATTTATAAGGGCTCTAGAATAAAATAACAAGTTATTCACACCAGCATCATCTGTTAACTAATATTCTATCTAGTTTAGCTTTTCATAGTGTTGTGGTTGGTTTTAAATCTAGGTTTTCTTCTAAGAGGAAATAATATCAAGGGTTGGTTCTTTACCTTATGGAGTTTAGTGTGGGGGAGGAGCAGGCAGCTCCAGGTTTATTGGATCTCTGCAAATTACGATGGTGTTGGGATAGATTACATCTGGTTATTTACTGTCCTGGGAAAATCCCTTTTATATAAGAGATGGCCTTCCAAGTGGTTTTTAAATTTATCCTTTATTGAGGTTTTTAGGTCAATTATGTATGTTGACTAAATTTACAAATAAACTTGTTTATTCAACTAAGTGTCAAAAACCTAAATTGAATGTTATAGAACCTTAATATGTCCATAACTTAAATTCTACACATTTTAAAAGTTTGAGCTTTATTTCAGCTCTTGCTTGGTAGATGAACCTTTTATTTACAAAAAAAGCATGTAAAACTGCCCTTAGATCTATAAAAATTCCCTGATGTAGCTCAGTAATAGAATGTGTCTAGCATGCAGGAAGGCCTTGGTTTTGATCTCCAGCACCTGTGCAAAAGAATACTGCTATATTTTGTACCATGGGCTTTTATAGCAAAGTATGTTAATAGCTTTACCCCATCCCCATAATGTTAACAAAGTAAAATTAAGTTGCATTTATTAGGGAAGTTCTTGTTAAAGTTGTAGGGCTTGCGTTTGGGGTTTATTCCATGCATCTCTTTTTGGAGCAGGCTTAGAACCCATTTTAAACAAATCTACAAGGTGTGGAATTGTCAAAGCTGTTTTCAGCAGCATGGAACAAGTCTTGAGCAATGAGGGCTGCTTGCAAGGCATAATGCATGAATGTCAGCAAGACTTGACCTCGAAAGCCACCCCTTTAAAGCATTCCAATGAAGCTAGTAGCTATATAGAAGTTCTTGCTCTACTAAAGTTTGGATTAATTTCTGATTTTGAAGTGCTTGAAAGAGGTAAGATGCTGTATGGTTGCTTATCCAGCTTTCAACTAGTTTTTTTTTTTTTTTTTGACAAAGTCCCATCTGAACCAGATCTGGAACCAGGCATACTTACTAATTCTGAGAATTTCCTTATGTGCTTCTGAACAAGACAAATACTAGGCATTGGAGTGTTCCCAAAAGTGGCAGCAACTAAAAGGCAGAGAAACAGCCACAGGAATGGGGAGAGTAAGCTTGCTGAATTGATGGATAATCCAAGTGGGTGACAATATTGAGCCTTCTCATCAGTCTTGAAGTCTCTTGGAGAAGGCTTGGGCAGGCTAGAAGGTACTGCTGAAACAGCTCTATGTGGACTTCCACACTTGGACACAACCTAGAAGATATTTTTTGATTCTAGGAACTTGCTCTTACAGCATGTCCCTGGATAAGAGTAATGGATCAGAATATGTAAGGAGGAAAGCATAGTTGAAGCTGATGGTGTAACCTGTGCCCTTGATGGATGAGACAAAAATAAAAGTTTTTTTTTTTTTAAGTTTTGAGATTTTTCTCCTTTTGTTAATGGTTTTCATTTCAATAATTGTTTCACAAAAGGGAATTATCTGGAGAGCCTTGCCTTTCTGATGTCAGTGGGAGAGTCGGGGAGGGGAGCACACTAGGGGCAGAACTGGAAAAATGATACTTGTCAGACCTTTGCTCAGGATAGTGCTAATTTATTCCTGTAGAACTGTTGTATAAATGGTGCCTACGTTTCCTAACAACTCCAATTTGGCAAATTACATGGCCATCATTCTTACAGCATGGTGATGTGTGCAGGGGGAACCCAGTGAACCATCTAAGGACAGATAAACTGGAAACTGAGTTCAAAGTGTTTGCCCCTTTACCCTTGTTAGTTGTAAGACATTTGTCTCTCATATCTACTTCGTGCATGTTCAGTTGGTCTTCGATTAAGCAAGGGTATTTTACCTAGAAACATGGACCTAGGTGTCCAACAGGAGTAGCTTGGGTAATGGGGGAAAGAGGAGGTTTTATTTTGTGGCCTTTGCATCCTAGGTAAGTGCTCCAATGAACTATTCCCTCACTGCCTAAGCTTGGCTCATGTCAGATTTCCCAACAGCCGTCTCTGTTGCTGCTGCTGCCTCTGCCTGGTGTCAGGAGTCAGGGCTGGAGCAGTTGGAAAGCAGGACCTTATTGAAGCATCATGAATTAGAGCTGCACAGGGAGGAACAGGGTGAAACAGCCACTGCCATTGCATCAGAGGCTGATCTTCAGCTTCTCCAGGATGGTCCCAGCCTTTGTATTTTGGGATCCAAGCCTCTGGCCTCTGGCCAACCTAGCCCACCCCAACCCCCACCCCCACCCCCAGCAGAGGGGATAGGTGAGTTTCTACTCCCCCTTCTGCAGCTGTTGTCTTATTGGGAGTGATATGGTTCACTGGGCATGAAAGTCTTGAAGTCCCCACACTCTTGGCATTCTGTTGTCTGCCCCCCTACCCTCAACATTTTTTGGGGATGGAAGCATTTCAGTTACCGAAGGAATTAATGCCTACTCCCTGTGTGTCAGCCAGCCCGTGACTGCTCCTTACCTAGGGTCCTTGTAGCTGCTGCTTCCCCTCACCCAGTGGTGCTCCTACTTGCCCCTCACCATAGGCATTCCTCAGGGAGATGCCCTCAACTTAAGGATGTTGCAGCCTGGACTTTTCCATCTAGCCTGGCTTGGCTTTTGGCCAGCAATTTCAGCGCACACAGCCTTCCAGTTACCTTCCCAAGAGCAAGGCCCTTATCTGTTGCCAACCCAAATTCCACAACACTCTCAACCTCGGGGTGCCTCACAGGCAATTTGGGTCAGTTGGCTGCTGTTTTGACTTTGTTACCCCTTCATCAGCATGTCTAAGGAATGAGGAAGGTGTTGAGTTTATGGATTGAGGGCTATGCAGTGAGGAGGGGCCAGAGGATTCCTGTTTCTGTTCTCTGGTCCTATCCACCAGTCCCTGGAAGTCTCACCCTGTGGTATCACCATTACTCCAAGCAAAGAGCCACAGAACTTCCATGTGATGTGTGTACCAGCCTATCATCCTCTCCTGAACATCATGCTGAGAGTCCAGTGGGGGTTAATTTTGCAGGTTAGACACACCTAGGAGGAACACCCCTTACCACACTTAATCAATTCCCCTTCCCTTTGGAAGAAGCTAAGAGGTTCTGCAGTTACATCCTACTGGGAAAGCAAAAAAGAGGTGGCTTCAGTGAGGTGTGGTAGCTCCTGGAGAGGCTAAAAAGCCACATATGATCTAGAAAGGGATGCAGAGGAAGGAACACAGAGATCTTTTCACCAGAAACTGCCAACTCTTATCTAGGATCCTGCAGTTCCAGGAATACACAATAGGATAGAAAGTAGGCAGAAAGGGACAGGTCCATCTCAGACGCTACAACTAGACCCTGGGAAGGAGCAGCAAGTGGGCTGCATGCTTAGGGCAGATGGCCTAAGATCCCCTGAGGGGATCTATGTGAGGGACTGCATGTCCTCATGGAGATGGTAGTTGGGCTCCTTTAATCCCTACTCCCTTTCTACTGCCTCTGGTGGACACAGCTGCAGGATTTTCTATTAAGCTTCTCACTGCTTTGCACTGAGCTATCAAGTAGAGGTGGCAGGATGGGTTTGGGCCCAAGACCATCATGGGCCCCAGCCTCATTCTTTAGCCTCCAACTAATCTCAGTCCTCCTGCCCATCTCCAGTGGCCTGGGGCAGCTGCAGTGCCAGCTGCAGCTTTCTGGCCAGTGCAAGGGGCCAGAAGAGAGAAGCAGCCCTGAGCTGTTAGCCACATGAGTCTAGACTTGCCTCCTGGCTATCAACAGGTTTGGTCATCAGCCTACAGGGTAGAAACTTCAGGGACAGAGTGGGAGCACCAAATAAAAAGAAGGCCTGGAGCTTGTTCTCTGAGCAGGGGAATCTGAATCTTGGAAAGACAAAGAAAGTTGAGGTTCCAAAGGCAGAGTCAAGCCTGGTACACAGCAGAGGCTCAAGAGTATTTGCTGACCAAACCAAATGGCCCTGGCAGCCCCACTGCACAGCTGGCTGGCTCTTCTGGCATGGATAGCAAAGAATCAGTCTGGTTCCCAAGAGCTTTGGTTACTTGCCTGGCTTCCACCTGGGGAGTGTCCCATGTAGGAAGTGTGGGGCTCCAAGTGTGGGTCTGGGAGAGCCGCTAATATCTTCTGTCCCCCACTGAGAAAAGACTTAAGCTTTATATCCTGGCACTTTTGCAGGCAGAGGATGGCAGAGTCAAGGCTGCAGCAGTCTAGTGTACTCATGGGGATGTGATGGTGGCTGAGAGAGTGGGCCTAGGGTTAGGCAGCAGGAGTTCAAGTCTCAGTTCCTCCACTTTTTTTTCTGTACTGGGATTTGAACCCAGGGGCACTTTATCACTGAGCCACATCCCCAGCCTCCCAGCCCCTTTTTTTGTTTTGAGACAGGGAGAGTCTCACTAAGTTTGCTAAGTTGCTAAGGTTGGCTTCAAACTTGCCATCATCCTGCCTCAGCTTCCTGAGTTGCTGGGATTACAAGTGTGCACCACCACACCTGGCTCAGTTCTTCTTGGATGAGTTCCTGAACTTATTTGTGCTGCTTTTCTTCATCTATAAAATGAGAGTAATAAAAATATCTATCCAATATACTAGTAAGAATTTAATAAAACAATCCTTGCAAAACTCAAGATACATAAGCTCTAGGGGTGATTATGAAGACACTTGACTACAGAAATCCAGGGCACCAATTAATCAAAACAGACATTAGTGATAAACAACCAGTAGTGCCCTGAAGGTGCATTCTGGGTAGACCTGCATTCTGAGGTCTGAATTGACATGTGCCCAATGTCAGTATTATCAGTGCTATAGAAACTGTCACCATTAATATCTCAGAAGGGCAAAGGGAGCTCAAATCAGGAAATGGATTAATCCTCTGGAAACCACAAAAAAAAAACCTCCCAGAATGGGTGAGATAGTGGGCCATCTGCTGAAAGCAAACATTTTCAGGGAGATTCATTTGGGAGATGTGGACCCAAGTCTCACCAGGGAACCTAGGCTGTGCTTGCAATGGAGAAACCACAGCTGTATCAAGCATATGCCTTCCCTGAATGAAAAAAGACCAAGTCCCTTGAGGAGGGCCCACAGGGTGAGAGTCTGGCTTTGATTTGGGAGATAGAAATGACTCTCAGAGAAGAGGCATCCTTGGAGTGCCTGTCCTCCATGGGGACCCTTAGCAACAACATTTTTTGGCAACCTCTAGGCCTGCCTAGACCACCAGAACCCTGGCTGGTGTGGATGATATCCCCACCCCCAACACCTTGTAGTGGACGCTTCCAGGAATTTGATCAGATTATCATAACAGACATTAGTGATAAACAACCAGTGCTGGCTGTGCTGATAAGATCTTTGGCTAACAGAGCACAGGACAGACCTTAGGGTGCAATGTCCCCATGGTAGTGCCATCTCTCCCCAGTCCTAGGACATCTGGCCAGCAAATGGGAGGGAAGGTCAGATGTCAAAGCAGAGTTCCTTCTGAACTAATTTCCTGTAACAAGCTAGATAGGATTCAAAAAAGGGAGTATGGTTGGGATGTAGCTCAATCGTAAAGACTTGCCCACTAGCATGCTGAGGCCCTGGGTTCCATCCCCAGCACCACAAAAAGAAAAAAAAAAAAAGGAAAGCAAACACATCTCCAAGATAAAAATCAATGTTTCAGAGTCCATTTCAAACACACAGGAGCCCTTCTCCTTAGGCCAAATGAAGTTTCTCCAAGAAAAACTGAAACAATACAAATTAAGATGGAGCCCAATGGGCATGTTTTCAATACCAAGTAAAAGTGAAGGTGTGGATTTCAAAGCATCACACTCCTTCCTCTCCTTCTCAGAAAGCTATACTCCTCCATGTAAGCATTTATCTCAATCACAGGAGGTCAGATTTGTGGTGTCTTTCTCAATCAGATGGTGGGAGCCTGAGATGTTTTATCATTCTGGCCAGTGGCACACAGTAGTGTGTGTGTGTGTGTGTGTGTGTGTGTGTGTTACTGAGGATGGAGCACAGGGCCGCATGCATGCCAGGTAAGTGCTTCACCAGTGAGCTATCCCTATTTCTGTTTTTTTTTTTTCTTTCTAAGTGCTAGGAATTAAACCCAGGGGTTCATGCATGCTAGGAAAGTGCCCCACTAACATGCTATGTCTCCAGGCCCTCATTCCTATTTCTTTTTCTTTTTTTGTTTAATGTAACAGTTTTAAAAAATTAAGTTGTAGATGGACACAATATCTTTATTTTATTTATTTTTATATGGTGCTGAGTATCAAACCCAGCGCCTCACACATGCCAGGCAAGTGCTGTATCACTGAGCCACAAACCCAGCCCCCCTATTCCTATTTTTAAAAACAGCTTTATTGAGATATAGTACACATACTATACAAATTCACCCTTTATTTATTTATTTCTGTGGTGCTGAGGATTGAATTCAGGGCCTCATACTAAGCACACATTCTATCACTAAGC